TGCACTGCCCGAAGCCCCGCCCCCTCGAGCCCTGCTCAAAGCCCCCGCCCCCCTCCAAGCACTGCGCCGCTCAAAGCCCCGCCCCCCTCTGAGCGCCGCACCGCCAAATAAAAAAATAAAAATAAAAAATCGGGCGCCGCCCTGCCCCAAGGTGCCGCCCCAAGCACGTGCTTGGTCGGTTGGTGCCTGGAGCCGGCCCTGCTTATCTAGGTCTTTTTTGAACCCTGTTCTAGTCTTGGCCTTCACAACATCCTGTGGCAAGGAGTTCCACAGGTTGACTGTGCGTTGTGTGAAGAAATACTTCCTTTTGTTTGTGTCAAACCTGCGGCCTGTTCATTTCACTGGGTGACCCCTAGTTCTTGTGTTATGAGAAGGAGTAAATAACCCTCAGATGGGGCTAGGGTGACCAGATAGCACGTGCGAAAAATCGGGACGGGGTGGCGGGTAATAGGCATCTATATAAGAAAAAACCCCAAATATTGGGACTGTCCCTATAAAATCGGGACATCTGGTCACCCTAGATGGGCGACCCGAGCTGGATTTGGTTTGCATATCATATATTGCTCGTATCACCTTCACCGCAAACGGAAACAAAAGTCACCAGATTCCCAAAGGAAGAAATGCAAAATTCATTCCTGCCATTAAAATAAAACCCGGCCCAACGATCCACGGCAGGAATGTAAACAGAAATCCGGCCGTTAAATTGCATTTGATTCATTCGACACGAACAAAGCGTAGAGAAAAGATTCAGATTCCCCAGTTTGTCTGGTTCGGTTCCCGGTTTTCTTCCCGGGCGTGGTTACGTTGCTTGGCTGTTTTTATAACGTCTTTCGCTGGCTCAGACTTGCAGCAAGGGTCACTTGGCTACCAGAGGCCGGCGTCCCGTCTCGTCCGAGGGCTGGGCTGAACGGGCTCTGATTCTTTCGAAGCAGACCGAACGCTCTCTCTTCTCCTTCTGGGGGTAAACCAAAGCCAAGCCAGTTTTGGGAGCCTGAGAAGACGGGCAGGGCTTTGGACGGTGCTAAGATCTCCCCACGCCGCGCCGCTCCGGTATTGCCTCGCAGTGTTATCGGTGTCCGTCTGCAGTGCGGCGTCATGCCCCCCTCTGTAACGTGTCGCCGGCCCACGGCGGCTACGCTCGCACCCAGGCCTCTGGCTCCCAAAGGAGCTTCCGGTTTGCAAGAGGACCCGTCTCCCCCGGCTCGGCTAGCTTCTGGCCGCGGCCGAGTACAAATCGGTTTAGTCTGTTAGCAGTTTACTCGTCACGAGTGAGCTGAGGGGGGGAGTGAGTGTGAGAGGGAGGGAGCGGGCGAATGGGGGAGTCTCTGGACATGGCTGCCCATCTGGGCCCCTGCCCGGCCCTCCGCGGCACGGCGCCCCCAGGACCCACTCCCCTGTGTGTGTGTGTCCCCCGCCAGGCCTACTGGACCCGATTCTTCCCAGCCTCGGAGCGGCTCCACTCCCTGCTCTCCCAGGGAGCGCTGGGGGAGCCGAAGGTGGTGAGGATCGAGTTCGGGGCGCCCGTCTCGGGCTGCCCCTGGGTGGTGCAGAAGGAGCTGGGGGGCGGCGCCCTGCTGGACATTGGCTGCTACTGCGTCCATTTCGCCACCATGGTCTTCGGGGAGGAGAGACCGGAGTCCATCCTTGCCTCGGGCTTCCTCCAATCCACCGGTAACACGTGCTGCGGGTCGGGAGTGAGGGGCACCGACAGGGCTGGGGGGAGCCCAGGGCTGCGCTAGCAGGGGCTGCGGGTCGGGAGTGAGGGGCACCAGCAGGGCTGGTTCTAGGCTCCCATCCTGCTCTCTCTTTCCCAGGCGTTGATGAAACGTTGTCCATCATCCTGAACTACCGGGGAAAGCGCCAGGCCGTGATCACCTGCTCCATACTGACCTGGCTGCCCAACCAGGCCGCCATCAGTGGCACCAAGGGCATCATCCAGGTACCTGAGGGGGGAAACTGAGGCACACAGAGGGCTGGGGACTCTGCAGTGTGGGACAGAACCCAGGAGTCCGGGCTCCCAGCCCTCCTCTAACCACTGGATTCTTTGTTCCCCCGGCAGCTCCCGTCCCAGATGTGGAGCCCAACTGAGCTGGTGGTGAATGGGCAGCATGAAGAGTTCCCCCTGCCGCCCCCCCCCTCCCAGCCCCTCAACTTCCCCAAAAGCACCGGGCTTCGTTACGAGGCCCAGCACGTGCGCCAGTGTCTGCTGAAAGGTAATGGGGGGGGGAGGGGCGGGCACTGCTGTGGGAAAGGTCGCAGCGCTCAGCGTATCCAGTGGGGGCACTGCCGTGGGGAAGTTTGCAGCACCTGGGTACCTGGATGGGGGCACTGCTGTGGGGAAGGTCGCAGCGCCGGAGCCCCCAGCTGGGGAAGTGCTTTGTGGCATCTCACAGTGCTGGAGTCCTCAACTGGGGGCACTGCTCTGGGGAAGCTCGCAGCACCTCCCATACTGACACCCCTCTCCCCACCCCCCCAGGCCTGAAGGAAAGCCCCCTGGTGAGCTTGGCTCACTCCGAGCGGGTGGCCTCCATCCTGGATGAGGTGCGGCGGCAGGTCGGGGTGACGTACGCCCAGGATCGGGCCTGACTCCGGCTGACTCCAATCCTAACATACTGTAACACGGTTATTTAACCAGTTATATTCCACCACCTTAATTGGTTTACACCCAACAAAATTAATTATACAGCAGCCAGAAACAATCACAGAACCAGACAGAGACCATGCAAATAAACATACAAAACAATACAGAAGTGAGGATTTCACAACTCCATCTGTACAGACAGACAGGTTTCCCAGCTGTGTCTATGGATAAGTGAGTTCTCACCCAGACAAAAAACTATCAAAGTAAATTTCCTTTTCCCTGTTCTAGGCTTTTCCCTTTATCTGGAGGTGATAGATCGGATCACCTTCCTAACAGCCCCAGATTGCCTTATTTCAGTATGACTGTCACAGTGAGACACACAGATAGACAATGCTTTTGATTCTTTCTTTTATACCTCTATGACTAGCTAAGTGATAAGAATACACCTACATTCTTCAAGTATAGGCCAGACAGGCTTGAATATCTATATCCTAACATGGTCCCGCTATTGTGGGGAACTTTCCTGGCTCATACACGCCCCGGTGGGATTGGCGAGTGAAAGGATCTGCGTCCTCGCTCCCACTCCCTTTACCCAGAGGCCTGCCTGACCTCGAGGGCTCCCCTTCCTCCCACCCGTGCGGCAGAGTCCTCGTAACCCCGGCAAGGCTGGGCCCTGGATCCCTGGCGCTCGACCCCCAGTCTTGTCGTGGTCACTTAGGACAGGGGCGAGGGTGTCCCCACTCCGGGGCCCTCTCTTTGCGCCGGATGCTTCCCTGACCCGCTGATCGTTACACAGAGTTCAGAGCACAAACAGCAACTCCTACGCAATCAGGAAAAGATGGGAAGGTGAAAGGAAAACCCGTCACCCCCTCTGTGGCACGGGGACGTCACAACCAGCGTCTCTGGGATGTCAGGGTCTGTTCCTCACACGGCCCAGGGCCAGGCACAGTGCTGCAGGGGGCCTGAGGGTCGGACACTTGCTCTGGTGATGGCCACATGCTCTCAGGCTCCAGGTGGCCGGAGCCTTCTTCCCAGCGCCGCCCCCGCCCCGTCGGGGTTACAATCCCCCTCCCAGTCTGGCCTGTAGGGCCCCAAGGCTGGGGGTGTCTCCCTGCGCTGGGCCCTCTGCCCAGGGTCCCCCTCGCTCTCCCCAGCTGCTCACCGCACTCGGCTCCGGACTGCTCCAGCCCCAGCCCCCTGGGCCGCTTCTCTGGTCCCCCTGGCGCTGGCCCAGCTCCACTCCCCGGCCCAGCACTGGCCCTGCTCTCTCCTTAGCTCGGCCCCACTCGGTCTGACCCAGGCAAGTCCAGCTCACACGCAGGACGGGACCCCCCCGGCCTCCTGACTCCCTGATTAGCCCGTCCTGTTCCTGGGGACTGTCAGTCTCAGGGTCCTGATTTCCCATCCACCCGTCCCCTTCCTTTTGGTGCTGGGAGCTAGCAACCAACCTCCCCCCCCCCCACACACACTGAGTATTAGGAAGGGGACAACAGTCCCCTTACACCTGCGCTAGTTCCCAACTTTGGCCTTGGCTACACTTGCAGATGTACAGCGTTGTGAGTTAAACCTGACTTCGTGCCGTTGAGTCGGGAGAGCGCTGCAGTCTGTCCACACTGACAGCGGCCCAGCGCACTGGCGTGGCCACATTTGCGGCAATTGCAGCGCTGTTGGGAGCGGTGCATTATGGGCAGCTATCCCACAGAGCACCTCTTCCCATTCTGGCGCCGTGGGTTGTGGGAAGGGGGCCTGGGTGCGGGGGATTCTGGGTCCTGTCCCAACGCCCCGTGAGGCATCGCTTCGCATCCCAGAAATCCCTTTGTTCCCGTCCACCTTTGGCGCCATCTTTCAGCGGTTTCTGTGCAGCGCGATCGGTCTGCGGATGCTGAACCCGGGATGCTGAGTAACACATCCTGCCTCCTCAGCCGCCCCGGAGCCAGCATGGGGTGGAGCAGAAGTTCAGTTTCTTCTTCCGGAAGAGAGAAGAAGAGAAGAGCTTTTGAATTTTTGCGGGGTGTCTTGGGGGCTGCAGCGGGGAGGCGTGGCTGCAGGGGGTTCAGCCAGCCCGGGGCTCCTCCGAGCCGACTGGGGGAGGCTCAGGACTCCAGCTGGTCCAGGTCTCCTCTGGGAGGGGGGAGCAGGGGGTCTCAGGGCTCCTCTAGCCATGGGGGGTGGGCAGGGGGAGCTCAGGCCATGGGGGGAGAGGTCATCTCGGGGCTCAGGCCATGTGGAGGAGGGGGTCTCAGGGCTCTGGCCATGAAGGGGGAGGGAAGGAGGGCTGCGAGGGAAGCAGGGGGTCTGTCCTGTTCCCCAGTTGGCTCCAGACCCTCAGTTGGCTCCAGCATCCAGCCCTCCTAGGCTCCAGTGTTGCCCTTGTTTATGGGACAGCATAGGGGGAACACCCTCCCACCCTTTACTACAGGCCTTGGGATCCTAAACAATTGGTCTGCCTGTCCCATATCCTAGAGAGCTCTGGCTTCCCTTCCCAGGGCCTCTTCCCATGTGCACATGGAACCCATGCTTCTGTCACTGTTCCTTTCAACAGGAGCATAGGATGGTTTGTTCTTTTGGCCAAAGAAGTGAAGCAGTTGGCTACTGGCTCCAGCTAGTCTGGGGTGGGAATGTTCACAAACCCTTGGGACATGCAGTCACGGGTCTTTCTGGTTCGGGGTACAAATCCAGACCAGCAAGGGGCTGTCACCATCTTCCCGGTAACCGTGGGTACCTCACAACCAGCCTACCACCCCCTGAGTTTGTGTGTGCCAGGTGGCCTGGTGACTACATGCAGGGTGACCCCAACACACACCCAGTCCTGGATTTTCCTCAACCCGTGGACAGTCCAGAGAAATCATATGGTTGGTTTGTTCCTTTAAAGACACCAAAGCCCTTCACAGCTTATTAACTTAACTGGGGGTAACTAGACCCTTCCCTTGAAACGCAGCACTGAGTTGATGATAAAACTGAAATGAGTCTATTAACAAACCCTACGTAGGATTCATTGAATTCAAATATAAGGAATGCAGATAGAAAGAGTTACTAGTAAAACAAAACAAAATACACTTGTAAAGGTCTAAAACGTCATCTAGCAAGACACA